CCGACTCGTATTCCTGCACATGCGATCATTAAAAAGGTCAGAAGATCTTTGGTGTTTGGTTTCACGTGGTCGGAGATGTTCTCCCAATAACCTTGAGTGGTAAACATCTGATGAAAACAAAAGAAAACAAGACAAAAGAGAACGGAAAACATTTAAATGAAACGCCGTAAACTAAAATACAAGATTCAAAGCAACAATCGGTCTCCGAAAACAGGCCAGCGCGGCCACCTTTCTATCGTATGCACAAGCGTTCTACTACCACATAGCTACCTCAGAATATAAGCTGGAGACGATAAAGTGCTCCCCTAATCCGAGGCCAGCGCCCTCTTGTCGATGTTTAATCGACAAGCGTCCTTTTACCTACCAAACAAATCTCAACTAAATCATTACTGATCATCCAAAGAGTTACAGAGACCCGGTGGTCAAGCAATCAAAACTTCATACGGACCGCTAACATTTGTCTAAAAAATCCCTTAGAGCCTAACAACGAATTGGTGTTCCGACCATGCTTGATCCGAATCAGTTAACCAACCGCTGTCAAGGAATAAAGCAATACTGATCCTATAGATCCTCCAATATTTTTCGATTGGCCTAAGGCACTTGGTAAAGATAAACGGGGCTGATGCCAATCCAAAAGGTAACACGGTAAATACGAAATACCTGAACCTAATATCACCTGAAAGCTTCCACGCGAAACCTAAGAAAGTCTGATGATCTGGACAAATATCAATATGATGGTAGCCACTCTTTAAATCAAACGAAATCATGAACGCTCCTTTCTGAAAATAAGACAGAGCTATTCTCCAGTCTTCGTACTTGACTCTTTGTTTGGTAACATGCCTATTAACGTACCTTAAGTCTAAGATTAATCTCTTTTTCCCGTTGGGTTGCACAGATACATATAGAAGATTAACCACATGAAGGGGAGCTTGGACTTCTACCACACGATACGAACACAAGAGCTCTAAGATTGCTTCCTCTAGAAATGTTGGATAATGCAAAGAAGGCGTATTGTTTTTGAGAACATTCCCGGAGGGAAAAGTCTCGAAAGGAAGACGATAGCCGTCTTCAATGACCGATAAAATAAATTCTGGCGCACCTGTATCGTGCCAGAAAGATATGTTTCTCCCCAAACTAACTTTGACCTGCAATATGGCCGGCCCCGTTGAACTTTCATTTTCGCAATCACTTGTTACCTCGTCAAAAGAGGCGTCGTTACCGCTAATATTTGGATGCCCCTTCACTGAGTCCTCCTGATCCGGGTTTAGTAGTTGTGGCGCTACTCGAATAATGGAATCCGCTTCTGTTGGGCTGTGTGATAAAAGGGCTTCCGACTCTGCAGTCCTTGGCCCAGTG